GAGGTCAGTGACCCCGCCAAGGCCGCGCGCCCGAGGTCAGTGACATTACTGTAGTATGTATATAATACATATAATACAATATAAAGTATAATATTATAAATATATAATAAATTATATGTATATATATAATATGTATTATTTAATGTTATATATAATATAATATATATTACAGTCACGTTATTTTCACGTGTTGTTTTTCTACACTTTCCTGTCACGTGACTTTAGTTACGTTTTTAATTTTCTCTACATATACGACGACCTGTCTCAAAATCACTTTTCATTATTTACTCTCTCGATATTACCGATTCGATTTGACTCGATCAACCAACCAATCAATCGGCAACGCGGAAAAGAGGCAACAATAAGTGCGATATATTCGACTCGAAACGCGCACTTCTCGGTCTAAATGCCTTTTTTAATATAGGATTGTTTGGCAAAATACTCGTTGGTGAAAACAATTGATCATTTAAAGATAATTACAATATATGTTTGAATATAAATACAAGTTACCCAACATACAGTTATTCAACGTGTGTTTACTTATTAATAGGTTTTCATTCAGTCTATTGTTGGATTTCATTGATTTCATTTCTACTATCGGACGATGATCATTATAAAAGATATTGCATTTATAATCACGTTTTCAACGCTGTCTAATGTGTCTTATTTTAATATCCAATAAAGAGTTACAGCAGCATCTGAGCGCTTTACAGAGCAGAATGAGATTTGTATCTTCAACAGCATAATTAATACTGAAGTCTCTCTCTTATAAGGATTATCACTGAGCATCTTGAACTTTCACAAGGAAAATCGTTTTTAACGTAAACATAGCTTTACGTAATTGTATCCGCGCGATCTCCTTTTGTCTTTTTCACATGTATAACATAAATAGCGGTACAATTAAATTATTATCGATCTTTGTAAACTTTCACAAATTTCTGTGATTTTATATGAAAATTTCAACTAGCGTGTTATTAATTATTAGTCACAAATTATTGATGTTATTGTAAATCCTGTATCCGCGCCAACGGATTCAATAGATATTCAATAGATGCGCCCGAAACAGAATGAATGCATAATTCTGTTTTTAAATGAAAAGTCGCGAGAACTCTAGAAGAAAAGAATCCGATCGGAAACACGCACACACACACACACACACACGTCGCGGAATTAAACGCAGACTGCTATATAATCGCGACGAAAATGGAAGAAAAGCACATTATTCGCGGAGAACGCGTGCGGCGTAATAGAATTTTCAGACTTATACTTCTCATTAATTATCCTTTTCAATCGGAGATTACGACCGGCGGATATAAGACCGCCGGTCTTCAAGATCGTGACCACGCAAAATGCCGAACTTAAGTCGCCGTTTGAATCCTCAGGAGCTTTTCGCACGATAAGCATGCCGCTTTCGCGAGAGAAGGGAAAATCCTGAGAGAGACCACGGGGCGCGTTATACCGGAGCCGGCATCGAGCGAAATCGTTATCTCTTTTTCTTTTCACAAAGATAATGATCCTGCAAGAACCTGACGACGCTCTCTTTTTCTCTCCTTCCATACAGAATAACAGTTGTTCCACCGCGACATTGTACTTAAAGCGAGCGTCGATTGTACCCATCTCGATAACGAAAGGATTCAAACAGCGTCGTCTATCGCCCTTCCCTCCCTAGATTATCTCTTCGTTCAACCTTTTCCTCGATAACGGAAACACGAACGTCTCATCTTTCTCATGAAATACGCGGGTAATTCGATTCATATTGTACTACTTACACATCGATTTGATTAAACTGTGAGGCGAGTTTGAGGCGCTTCTTTTTTATTACCATAATCGCGAGTGACACCGCGACGGAACGGAAATGTTCTCTTACTTTTTTTTTCTCAGATGAAATCACAATATCCGCGACTGAATTATTTCCGCGAGAGAGGGAAAAAGTTTAGAGAGAGAATTCCTTTTCTCTCTCTCTTTCTCTCTCTTTCTCTCTTTATTTTTCAAATTTCGTCTCGCGAGGTGCGTGAATTTAATTTCAAACGTTAATTCCACCCTTTGTAATGCTCCGGTTATGCGTTCGCATATTCCGAAGAATGCTTTTGAAGTCAGCGTTTCAATTAGAACTACGTAGAAATATCTAATAAAGAGAGCCAAGTAAAAAAAAATTCCGTTAATACTTCTGCGTGTGAATTCCGTTTCGACGACGTCACGATCGCACGTTCGTATATCGGACAGGGCGCGGTGTGTGCGATGTTCTTAAGACCAATTAAGCTTGTTTTCAACAATCAACCCCTTCGTCTAATCCAGTTGCCCGGATTGTGGCTAGGTACACGCGTGTCATCGCCGCGCGCAAGTGTATGAGTAACACGACGCGCCGGATGGCGCGCCCGGTGGTAGCTCACGGCATGTAACCAGGTCCCGTGTATGGCCGGAGGTGGTGGTTATGTGGGTCGCACAACAGTCACTTGAGATTAATTACCAAGTGCATCGTCAGAGATAACGCGGCGAAGGCTAGCGGTTAAGTGAGGCGCCATGGCGCTCATATACGACATTAAATTGAACCTTTCGTCGCCGCTGATTCCTGCGCTGCCGTCGCCGAGCCGCACACACAGTATCGCCCGAGGCCCGGCTTGAAACTCGATGCAAGCCTCGGGTACAATATGCGTACTTGCCTAAAAGCAATTACTGCCGACGTGCACACGCGCTCGCTCGGTCGCGCGTGCACTTGACGATAGCGCGCGCAATATAATATTGTGTCCGGACAGAATCTCGTTCATACCCGGGCTTCGTCATCAAATCTATAACGGGACACGACGAGCGAAAGACGATATTTGATGTTAATCTTCGCGCGGTCATTGGATATCATTACGGGCTCTGTATACATCAGACCGTCCCGAGCTGATAGCCCGAGAACCGGAGAAAATACAGGACGGGCATTCGCCACGCGGCGAATGATCGCCGAATCCAAAGGCTTATGTTTCCATTATTACGTGAAATAACATACGTCATGTCTTCACGGGAGTAATATTATCTCGGCAAATTTATGACAGATCATTTCGCGCGTAATATCATTGCGAGAGTAATCGTACGGGTAATTTATATCGTGGATACGCGTGGAAAAATCGGTTTTGAAATTGTTCAAAGCGAAATTTGCCGTATTAAACACACCGGCGTGATAATGGACATTCTCTACATTCACATTCCCGCGGGAGCGGTGTTCTCGTATATCGTTATAGCGTAATAATTTATGGAACCACGGTCGAAAATGCCGCAGTTGAACTCTCTCAATGAAATTTCAATATCTTCGCAGAACGGATCCCAGTGTTCACTCGAATTCGGAAGCACGTTCGCGCGTTTGGGAGAGAGAAGTCTCTTTCGCGTGTGATCCCGAGTAGTCACGTGATTCGACAACACGAGATACGACGCAATTCAGTTCCTCGCTCGCCTCGGTTTTTCGTGTGAGAAAAGAATCCGAAATATTTGTTCTCGTATATTTGCAGGTGGGATGGCTACGTGCCGAGGATCAGACGGTGCTGTCGATGGGCGATCGCAGGGTCACACACTCGCCTCGATTCTTCGTCACTTTGGAGAACGCGAAGACGAAGAACCAGACGCAGTCGCGGGAGGACGAGGAGGCCACTTGGCAGCTGCATATCCGGGCGTTGAAGGAGGCCGACCGTGGCTGTTACATGTGCCAGCTCAACACCAAGCCGATGATAAGCCAGCTGGGATGCGTGGATGTCCTAGGTATGTCTAATTGCACGCGTTACGCCGCATTCCGCCGGCAGACCGGCCAGGTTTGCGGCAGAGACGTCACGTATGTACGCACGCACTGCGTTTCGATTAGGGGCTTTGGGGGCCGGGAAAATATGCGTGCCTCGCCGCTGTTGCGGCGCGCGCGTTTGAATAGGCCGCTGCGCACGTGTGCGTATGCATAACGCGCAGCATTTCTCACCGCGCGCGTTTATGCACAGTTGTATGTACATAACACCGCAGAGCGCGTTGCTGCTGCATCTTGATAACGTGATCAGAAAGGATTTCGGGCACGATGGAGGCGGATCTTTGAGAAAATCTCGTTGTTTTTGTTGCAACTTTGATTTCGGTTATAAAACAATCAAACTTGATTGACGAACAGATCAGCTGTGGTTTCTCACACAAGTTGACGTAATATGCACACATCGATTCGATGTGAATTAAGTTAACAAGGCAACATTACCGATCATATAAGAAACGCTACCGGCTGCGCTTTAATTTATAGTTTAATTAAACGCGATAACGAAGTTCGAAAGTCGACGTGATGGAAAGTCTACTACTAGTGCTCACCGACTGCGTCAGCTGATGGATGCTCGCGTACTTTGTGCGCAAACGTCAGACCAAACTGTTCCTATTAAATTTACATTATCTCCTTTTAACGTTAATTACACCGACGTAAAACACGACGTAGCAACTCAATATTTGCTCCGCCACGGAGCTTCACATCAGCAATATCCTGGAGGATGCTCCTTCACACTGCGTGCCTCAATTTCGGCATCAGGGCACACGCGCAAAACGCGCTCATTGCGCCTCGCCACATCACGGTCGTCGTGAAATGCACTACTTCACTTTTATATCGCGCCGCATCCCATCTTCGCGAGTAATATCGTGTATGGATGCTTTTTTGTGCGTGAGAGGCACAAGAAACGGCAAAGAACGGAAAGAACGCGATGCGTTCCATCACATGCGTGCGCGTTTGCCTGATGTTCGTCGTTTTTCAGACATTCGAAAAGCGCCGTCGAGTGAATTTCCTTTGTGCAGAAACGCACACGGGAAAATGCCATCTTGTTTTTATGCCATTTCTCAATCGGTTCACATACACGCTAGTATATATATGCACATATAATAATATGTATGTACATATAATATATATTGTCGTGATATACTTGGCCAGCTCGAATGATTGTAATTGAAACGACTCGGAGCGGTTCCGCGAATTGGACAGAATTCCATCGGGAAAAAGCTCTCTCTCTCTCTCTCTCTTTTGTGTCCGAGGATGTTCTTCTCGATATTTCATTTCCGTCGAGTGTGACAGGCATGATTTTGAGATGATTTTTCGATCGTGCGTTGCGCCAACGTCGAGAGCAACGTTTCGGTTAAATCCGATTAGAATGACGGCAATACGGAATCTCCTTGTCCGCGAAGTTCCGTTCCAGCTGAACGTCAGTAAAAGAAAGAGAGAGAGAGAGAGAGAGAGAGAAACTTGCATGAAGATACATTGTGCGATTTCGATCTGATCCGTGAATTGTTTCGCCGTAGACAACGGAGCGCGTGACGTTCGGCAAAATTGCGTCATAATCCTCGGACACGTGTTGAATTTGTGATAAATGGACGCGCGCGTGCGGTATATCGGCGAAATTCGTTTCATTCCATAAAGGTTGCAACGATAAAACGTTTTTTTCTATATACTTTACATTTCGTGTTTGTACAATGGAAGCAAGTTTATAAAAACACGCTTGACGTATCACAAGCTGCTTTATTATTCTTTTGTTATTGAATTTACGTTCTCGGCTCTGATTACTGTGTGTAAAACTAAACGCAAAATAAATTATAACGAACAATATTAATTCAAGAGAGAGAGAGAATGCTTTGCAATCGCGTTTTTTCCTTCAATTAGTTTTGAAAAATGTATGCACACGGTGAGATTAATTTTTCTGGAATCTGTTCTCCTAGAATGAAATATAATTAAATGGTCTCGCACTTGGAAAAAAATCGCCCGATATTAATTTTGCAGATGAGCGTAAACAATTATGTCGAGTAGAAATATTTCAATTCTGCAGAACCATAAATATTTGACAAATATATTCTGTGTGATATCTTTGTAATTCATTGTGATATATATATTGTTGTAGTATTTATTATCACACATAATTTTTCATAAGACAAATCTCTCTCTTTATTTTCTCTTTCTCTCTTTCTCTCTCTCATCATTTTACACAGGTTTCCTAACGCTGCACCGCTCTCTGTTGCATATTTTACGTAAACTTTATAATCCCACATTCTGTATCAAATATTCACACATCAGGTTGAAAAAAATTCCTAATTTTATCGCGAATCTCTTTCCTGACTTTCAGTTTCAGACTTTCGACGTAACCGATTAATGTGACTTTAAATATTTTATCATGTCGTCCGATCTGACAGTTCTATCTGTCATCTTTCTTTCAGTGCCGCCTGACATTTTGAGTTCCGGCACTTCGGACGGAGAGGTGTCCGTGCCCGAAGGCGAGAACGCGACATTGACATGCAAAGCATCCGGGCGGCCACAGCCTCGCGTATACTGGAGACGCGAGAAAAGTGATTTCATACTCATGAGGGGTGTTCACGATACGTTGATACAAGGTAAGATATTGCCCCTATAATCCACGAGGATTGTAGCGATCTTTGTATTTGTTGTCCCTTTGTGACGACAACGTAAAATATTGTGTTGTTGTCTCGGAATGAAGTTGTTCCCTTCCACCCGAGGGAACCGCCAACGCGAATGTATTATTCCCTTTCTGTGTCACGTAGCTCTATTGCAGGTTTAATCGCGTCTTTATTGTTGGTTTACGCGTAATACATAATTCATAGAAAATCTTATCGTGTGTGTGTGTGTGTGTATGCGGACAAAGAGAGAAGTAAAATAATAATAAAAAGTTCTGAAAATATCTCGACATTTGAGATCTTTTAATGAAGACAAATATTCTTTAACGTCCTCATTTTCGCGCAATTAGATTAATTCCCGGTAATCCAACGTGTCTTAATCAGACGAATAGCCCGAGCGGTTTAAGAGAATATGAAGATATCGTGAATTCGCACACGTAGGTGATCCCGATCGAAAGCAATTACGGCGGAACACGTTCCGTCGACTAGAGATTAGTTTGTTCGCAATGACTTTCAATATATCCTTCGGGCACGTTGAGTCGCGCGCCGCATTTCGCGAAAGACATCTGCACTCGAAGAATTTTGTGCAGTCGCGACGCTTCGCACGCGCGCGCACGCCGCAAATAGATTCGGACTGCACGGCAGGTTGAAAAGAAAGAAATATTTGCAACATCACACGAGTGCCCGGTGGGCCGTGTGGAATTAAAAGAGTGTGCTTGTACAGCCATTGACATTCAATTGGAATGATTGACAATCACTGGAGAGACAGATTTCAGCAATCAATCGATTTCCAATATATACCGATGTGTCGCAAAAAGATATATATATATATGTATATAACTTTTTCAAGTCCTTATACGTTAGATGTATTACATACTGTATTCCGCTACTATAGTTTTCCCTGCTGCTTTTTTCTCAACATACATACGTTTAATCTGTACGAAGTCTATTAAGTTAATTTATCAATCGATATAGAGATTGACTGACGTATATAAAAAAAATTTGTATTGCAATTTATTTTCAATTTTTATAGAATAAACAATCTATCTCAATTGTTACTCTATATTTTTATAATTACGAATTCTTTAATATCTATCGCTTTCCCGTAAAATATCACGTTTTATTTGATTAGCATTAACGAAAATCGAACACGACACGATAATTAAATCTCCGGAAAATATATATATATATATATATATAAAAAAAAAAAAAAAAAAAAAAAGATATTTCCGTACATACACGACAACGCAATCGAACACTGCATAATTATCAATTTAATACAAGTGACTGCGCAACGCTGGACGTACACGAATTTCATCAGCTGTCAGCACAAATCACGCATCTTGCATTTTCGATCGATCTTATTAAAATCTGACACATTTTATCGCGAACACGAAACGACATGTTCCACGCGTGATTTATGTCGGCCGTCCGTTTGATAATAATATGATTCATTATCTTTCAGTTATATTTGAAAAGCGTCTATTACACGTGCGCGCTAAATGCAATTTCTCATTGAATAATGGAAATTGTAAACACATACATTTATGTAGAAATATGGATTTTCAAAATTTCGTTATCTCTCGTCCTCGTTTTCGCGATAAACAGTTGCGATGTGCGGAGTAAAATTAAATTCGATAGTGTACAAAGGTGAAAAAATTTCTGTAATTAACTGAATTAATTTGGCGCCGCGTTTTATGAGCTACAATTCTTCATGGCGCACTTATTCATTACGCATCGCCATTAATCGTAATTAATTAATATTTACTGAAAAAATATTGATACAACGCAAGAGCGACTTAAAAAAAAATCTAAAAAAATAATATATCTGTAATTTTAAGTAATTGTATAAAAACAAATTACAGATAAATAATGAAATCACATTAAAGCGCGAGCGAAATTTTATGTATTCTTTGATGCTCATGCAGAAATATGAAATGTCAGTTTTATCAGCGGTGTGATGATAAATCCCGACGACACAAATTTTACTTTACAAATTCATACTCAGCTTATATCGTTTCGTTCCCCCGGAAGGCGTATTTCGCGAATAATTACTCGGACCGCGTTAAACACGTCGGCTTATACGGTCAACGAGGGAACAGCTTTCAACAAGATATTCATATAACGTATACGATTTTCTAGTGGACAACCAGACCGGCGAGAAGCTAGAATTAACCAGGGTAGACAGGAGGCAAATGGGGGCTTATCTTTGCATAGCGAAAAACGAAGTGCCTCCGGCAGTCAGCAAAAGGGTTAATCTAAAAGTAAATTGTAAGTACTCAAAAACAATTTGTATGACGCACTTTGCTCGGCGACATTTCCAAGTCAGCGAGACTGATGAAATCAATTGATATATCGCCTGATATCACAAACGGACGGATTTTGTTCAATTTAACCTCTATTTTTAAATCAAGCAGGAAATATGACACGTATTTTAATGAAATATTATCATCCATTACGCGAGACGGGATCGCTTATGAAAATACGATTTCTATTTACAGAAGCGGAAACATTCTCTGCAAATTCTCTGATTATCATAAAAATCTATATTTGTTTGAATTCACAGTAACGAACTGTATATCAAACATGTACCTGCTATTTTCTCTCATATTTCTCTCGCGCGTAATTTTAGTTCCCCCGAGCGCAAAGGCACCCAACCAGCTGCTCAGCTCTCCTCTGGATACAAACGTGTCGCTAATCTGCTTGATCGAAGCTTATCCCAAGACGATTAACTTGTGGATGCGGAAGGAGCAAGTTATCATGAGCGGGTATGTGTTGAGGCAATATTGACAGTTTGGGTCACTGGTTCCTCGGGCTCGTGAGAGAATCCGTTGTTCGACAATCTCTTCGATATGGGAGGCAAAACGTTTCGTCGCCGGGGTGTTCGGCTTTTTGTTGAATAACTGTTCTCCCGACCTCGGTCATCGCGATTTGCTACATCGATCCCGGGGATGCCGGCTCGCGCGGTTTATTCTAACGAGAGACGTCGAATAACGAAATCTATTCGCATCCCTATCTCGACACGCTAAACGTAAGTGATATGTCAATGCAGAGGCAGGTACGAAATCGACGAGCGGGGAAACCCCGACGAGGAATGGAAGACGACGATCGTGTTGAAGATAAGACGCTTGGAGAAAACGGATTTGGGCGAATACACGTGCTCGGCTTCCTCAAGTATGGGAAAAGCCGAAGCGACCCTCCGAGTTTACGGTAGGTAGTCCCATGTACATATACGTATATATATATAAGGCCGAATGAATACGTCATTCTCTGTCACTTTCTGACAGCTAACGTGAGGATCCGGTTTGCGCGAAATTTATTTTCGCATCACAATTATTTCGATATCACGCGAAAAACGGTTATTTCTATTCGACGCGACGATATACAAGTAAAGCAAAATTTTAATAAAAATCGGAGAGGGATTGAGCATTCTTTACTACATATCTTTTTCTAAGTTACTAAAAATTAAAATATCGTCCGCTTCAGGCCTTGTAGAAAAAACCGACATTTTATCTAAATTTTACCTAAATTTATCGCAACACGGCGGGAGCTTATGTGTGCATAAAGAACCAAAAAGGTCATCAAAAAAAAAAAAAAATAAAAATAAAAATAAAAATAAAGGCACACGAGTAAGCCGTTTAAAAAAAGAAGACTCTGAAAAAGCGGAGCGTCTGGTTCACCTTGTGTGTCGTGTAAAAAACTTTCAGAGATTCAGGCACCAACCGAGCCTACCCGCACCACCTCGACCAACTCGAAGCGACTGAACCGGAACAGGTCAAAGGCTGTGCAGGGCACGGCCAATCGGATTCCACATCAGCAGGTGAGCACGCCGGCCATGCAAAAGAGCACCGCCCGATGGATCTATAAACACGTGACCACGACGACTACCGCGGATCCGCGCGTATCTCTAATGAAGGGCAACGTAGTCAAGCAGAACCACCGCAACGACCAGAACCACCAGGATCTCAAGGATCGCAGCGACGCGACCGCGGTCGCGGTCGCTGGCAAGCGGGTCATTCTACCGCTCTGCCTGATACTATTCTCGACAATGGTGCGATAAGGAACAAGACAACAAGAGTCACTAATTCGTGAGAAAAGCTAATATAACGAGTCGGCAACAGAATTGTATTCATCGATCCGACAGGACGAGCAAGAGCGCGAGGATGCTCACGGAAGAAGCCGGATCTCCTAGCAACGCAGAAGGAAATGATTCTAAGACAACGACTACGAGGGTGAGCTGGCTGAGAGAAAGCGATGGTTCGGTTTAATTAGCCCAGATCGATGGTCTCGAGCGGCGAGGAAGAAAAAAAATCGTGGGAACATTTGGACGCTTTCACGCGCGCGAAAGAACAGAAACTACGGCAGAAGAAAAGAATTTGATCCGCTAATATGAGCGTCGCCCGAGATAACCGCCGCGGATTTTTACCAAAAGACGCTTACAAATGTATTTTTTATGACCCTTTTATTCGTTGCTAACGTGAAAAAAATTCGTGAGCAAAAAATCTGCTCTTTGATATGATTAAATAATATATAACGTTATAATTTTACTCTTAAAACTCACTCGGGCGGTGGAGAATGCTATATTAATCCAATAAAAGCCTCGTCAATTTTTAAATATTTCTTCTTTTTTTATTGATTTCGAATTTATTGCATCTGCAAAACTGCCGTGAAATGTTTTATTGTTCTTGTTAAAAATTAAAAATCGCAATAAAATCTAAAGAATGATGAACGAAAAAGAGAAAAAGAAGCAATATTTTAAATTGCCAAATAAATTGACCGCTGTCCGAGAATTAAATACACGAGAAAAAGATTCTGTTAATCAAAAATGATCGTTTCTCTTGGATTTTTGTAATATTAATAGGTGATAATTTAGGCGATTACATAACGTTAGCGTGAAAAGCCTTACATATGCAGGGTGTCTATTTCAAATGAACTGTCGCTGTCGCCAGCGAGAAGAGAATAATTTCACGGAATTGATCGAATTGCCAATAGATATAACTTGCAACAGTGACGGTTCAAGTGAACATCCCTTACGTTGCTATTGAATATTGTCTCTTTATCGATTAATCATCACCGACGTTCTTCGGACAATTACGCGTCGATCATACCCAAACGCAAGACAAATAATTAGCATACTAATTTGTATGTAAGAGATAAGTACGAGATATCTTTGTTTATTGTGATGTAAGAGAGTGAATTTGATGTATTTGATGACATCTCTCTAGCGAGCGTTGTCGCGTTTCATATCCGAAATAAAAAAAATCATATCCGTAGCGCATATAATAGCGTATCAAAAAAAAAAAAAAAAAATCTACTCTAGGAAATTATACATATAGACATCACTTTGGTTACTTTGAGTATTTTTTTAAATTACTCGTAGACAAGATACTGTACCTTTATATATGTCGATAATGAAGCAAAGACCATGTTATAGGACTATAATATATATATGAAGTGGTTAAAATTGCGAGGAATGAGACCGATGTGTGTATTGCTTTCTTGAATAAGACGCGCTCTTCTATATAAGTCGGCTTTCCCATGCCAGTTTTTTGTATAAGATATGCTCAGCTTCTCATTTTGAGAATCGCGGATGTGTACATTTTTCAATAAGGATATATATATATACATATAAATAATATAAATAATATAAATACTCTGGAGTATACAATATACGTATGCATACGTTATTTACATATACGCGACACAATAATCAGAAGTTGTTAAACAAATATTAAACAACCTTATATACGCGGTTTGATTATTTTCTTGACATAGCAGTGTGTCATTTGATTGATATATTCCTCGCAAAACTACGAACCATATCTTGTTCTGTAATTAAGACAACTGTGTAAAGTGACGCAAAAATGTCAAAGAGCGTTAAAGTTGAAAGAGAAAAAGTGATCTGATGATCGTTTAAAAAAAAAAAAAAAAAAAACTTATAATAAAAATCAGTGTGGAGTACAAGTCTCTTAGTTGACATTGAGCGGTTCATTATCACGGAGAAGATAGCATATCCCACTCGCACACACGGAGCAAAAAATATGTTAAATTTACCTACATAATGAACTCTGTATATCACACAGATGCTCAATATAACTCTACAATAATATTAAAGAGAATGTTGTTGTTTATAGGAAGGAAAGAGATATATTACGGGAATACAATGAGGAAATGTGCTCAAATTGGATAATATATATAGCTTTGGGGGAAAAAAAACGTGTTGACAAATAAAAGAAAGAAAAGAAGAACTATCATACATTTAGCAATGATGTTCGTTTTGACTTTTAAGTCTAGCTTAAACAAGTGTATTTTTATGTATCATTGAAGAGACAAATATAGCTGTTTGTCGCTAAATAAATATCAAAATTGTTTTATTCTCTTCATTCTCCTTTCTTGCGCTCATAAATATATGTATATATATTACAAGTACATTAAAATATACAAAAGAGTATGACCTAGTTACCAAATGCACATTGGTTAAAAAACTCTACACACAGGAATGTTACGACCAAAACAATATGCTAAACGCCATACAAACGCAACAAAAAGCCACATAGGGGCTTTTTCTTTCACCAATCCTAGCACATTTCCAAAAAGTACCCTGGAAACTATAAGAATAACATCATGGTAAATATACATATGTACAAATTATGTATATTTATATACAAATGGTTTTGTATATATTGTATATATGCATTTTTATCGATAAATATTCTATTTTGACTTACCCAACTTTTCCCAACTTCTTGTCAAACAAGTTAGGAGAGAATGCTCTGATGTAGGTACAGGTGCATATCAACAGCAATCCTACAGTCAGCAGACTCTGGAAATTAAATATGGCAGACTGCCACGACAAAAATTACATTAGTATTCTTTCGAATCTAATTGTTTTTGAGTAATAAAAGAATTGATTTATATATAAAAAATAGAATATATAAAAAACAGTTGTTATTATACTAAATAAACAACAATTAGATCTTAGTAGCTTTTTGCACAGAAGAAATAGTTTTTATTTACTAATGTGTTTCATAATTAAAAACTTCATTTTCCGATTTATAATTGGCGATACATATATTTTGACTGCGTTCGGGGAGCATGCTATCTGCGTTATTGTTGTATCGTTCCATGTTTATCTCTCATTAGATGTAAACTAAAGATTGAATGACACAACAGCGCGCTCTCTAAACGCAGCATTTGTCAAACGTTTTTTGTTTAACGTGCCTCACAATACCGTCCAGCGATTTTTGTGAGCACACTATTTATCCTCTCCAATTTGTCAAACGTCACACATATAGGTTAGAAAATACGCCAATCTGAAATCTCATTGTATATCTAATGTACGAATATTTATAAATTACCATAATTGCGTTGAATTATGCAAGTTGCTCAAAGAATCGCAGTTCAATTGTTACCAAGTCTTTCGTAAAAAGATGTCTTGCGACAATTCGTCACTTTGCTTTTGCCACACAAATGTACACAGTGAAGTTTGACACATTTGGAACGAATCGATAACGCAGTTCGACAACCGACTATCGATATCTTATCGATAGTTGATACAATCACTGCGCATCTAACTTAAAGGTCGTTTCGCATTAGTTGCAAGACGCAAGCAACCGGTCTCGCAAAACTGACCAATCATTTTGGTTGATCTGACCAATACGATTAGTTAATTCTACGAGATCTGCGACTTGCGTTTGTTTCTTTCGCGACGAACAACCTTGAAGAGACGGACGCGATGTGTGCATAATAAAGGCTGCTATACATAAAATTACTTAAATGCAAAAATTTCTGGAAATATCTTGACTATTAAAATCTCAAATCAGATACAGTAGTAAAATGAAACAAAATGCGTCAGATGTAATTTACATTCTGCGAACTCAACAACCGCAAACATCACTTTACGTTTATTGTTTACAATTGGCTTATTCTTCTAGATCTAATATAGATGTAAAAGTTAGTGCCAATCATAGGCAATAAGCGCGCAAAGCGATGTCTCAACTGTTGAATCCGTCAAACGCGGCCATTTTCTCATTCAAAACATATGGGGATTCAGCAACCAACAGAAAACACAATTAGTTTAGAAAACACAAGTCCGACAAAAACAAAAATTAATATTCACAACAATCAACGATCACAGAAATGTTGAATGAGCGCGTATTTTGTTGAGCACAGCGCGTTTAGGCAGAATCTACCCCCAACTGTTGCGCGGCGGATGTGTTTTCTGAACGCATCCGCTAATTCATTTGAGGCAAACTTGCGTGTGTGCGCGTAAGCGAGCAACCGAATCCGCCATTACGAGTCGCCTCTAGCTCCAGCTTTATCAGTTGCCAGCCTTGATAGGAAGACGAAAATAGTGGGGCGAGCGCGACCAGTCTACCGCCGAATGTTTTGCCTAATTATTCGAGGGATGTGACTTTTCAGGGAAATGATAGATTTCATCTGATGTTGCGGTGAAGCGAAAACGAAGCAGTGGCGATGCGTTGTCCGCTTAGCGAGATGGAACAAGCGCTTCGTACCGTGAGCAGATTACGGTAATACCGGTTGAAAACGTCGAAGGTATCATCGGACCCGACTCTTTGTCATGGACATGCAAGCTTCTAATGGTACGTAACTTGTTTTCGTATGCGGCTTAACGCTGTCTCATATGTTGGCCGGTCGCTTCCCTCGGCGACAGCTCGCGAGTGAAACTTCGTCCGTGCGCGCACGACAATCGCGTAGATACGCGGCGATATCAGAAGAGGTTAAATAAAAGTGTATCGTCCCTAGTGTCACATTCCGATCTGAACACCCGGGTGATTTATAGAAAAAAAGAGCGGCAAAAACATGAACATTACCAAGTTTGTGGTCTCGACAGTAATTTGATAGCTATGCATCGCGCGCGCGCGCAACGTAGATACACACACAAAGGTGGATAATTTAGAATCTTTTCTTCCTTTCTTTCTTGGGTTTTAAATCAAATGCATAAATCATATATTAATCTCTAAATGATAATGTTTTGCTTATCTCAGCATGAAATATTACACGAAAAGTTCGCTTGCTTTCAAATATTTCATTGTGTTTTCTTTTTAATAAACAGAATTTGCAAAGAAATATTTGTGCACTAATAATTCGCTAAGAGTAACAACTGGTGAATGATGTGAATGTAGGAATGGGTATGTGTGTGAATACAGTGTATACTTCCATCCCTGGGTTGCCTGAACAACTAGGAATGGTGTGGATGGGGGATGTGATGATGCACGCAGAACCTACTCATGAGCTTATGCTGGATCCTCGACAAACAACTGAGAATCCCTTTTTCTCACATGGTTCAAATCCTTATGAAGAGATTAGAAATCATCATATTGGAACCACTATGGTGCGCTATATACCACAGCAATTTTCAACAGAATGTTCAGAGCCTGGTGAGGCAGAGGAAGCTACTGATACTCAAGACTTACAGGGAGTGAGTATTTTGTTTCTGTTCAAGAGAATTTGATTTAAGTTGATTTTTTATACCTTTAATTTATATGAAGATTTTTTATACCTTTAATTTATATGGAGATTTTTTATACTTAATATTTTTTATACCTCTTTAATTTATATATGGAGATTTTTTATACTTTATATTTTTTATACTTTTAATTTATATGGAGATTTATAAAATAAAATGGAAATTTTAATTATTTACATATAATTACAACTCTGTAAATTGTGGAGTTTTTTTCTTTTTAAAGGGATATGATTCAGAGACAGAAAAACAAGAAATAAGTGAATATTTAACATTGGAAGATTACATAGGTGAAGAAGAAGAAGAAGAGGAAGAAGAACAAATAATGACTAATGCTGCGACTCAAACTACTCAAGACAAGCATTATAATAATCACTATCGAAAGATAAAACCCATAAAACATCCTGGACTTGTTCTAAAGACACCAATTGCTTATCAACCTTGCACCGATTTGAACTTCATTCCTATTCGTAAAGATGGCATAGGTAAATTCAATATTGGTATTAAACTATAATATATCTAATAGTCACTTCTCACAAGACGTTATATCAAATTTACATGTGTGTTTCCACAGCTGTTTGTGAAAAGTGTGGTGCTATTGGTGTGAAGCATGCTTTTTACACAAAGGAACGTAGATTTTGCAGTAGAGCTTGTGCTCGTTCTTCAGAATATAACTCGCTTACTGCCGATTCGACACACAGCCCATCTTATTCGATAGATCAACCTATACAAGCATCACCTAATGAAACAAAAAAACCAACAAATGTAAGTTAATTTGGACATATTAGAGACAGAAAAAATGTGTAAAAAGAAACTGTAAAATTCTTTTCAATTTTTAGACTGTTGGAGAATTAAAAAAGAAAAAAGCAGAAGTCACTGAGTCTTCTTCGGAGGAAAATCACAAAGTTAACTTGGAGCCTGTAATGCCCGAGGACTTACCAGTTAGAAGAAAGAAAACTGCAGAACTGGCTAGTTCATATGATTGGACACCACAGCTTCTTGAACCTGGATTTTGTGCTGCGCCAGTCTCTTGTTTCAAACATGTAAGTATATAGGCTTTAAGCTTTAATTTTATTTTCAAATATATTCCGTAAAACTTCAGCGAGAAGCGTTCGGATATTTCCGCCGATCACGAATTCACACGAAGTAGTCTACGACGCGTCGCGAAGTGAATACCTCGCAATTTCCAGTCTATACTTTATATGTCTATGAAACACGTAGACTGAGTAATAAAGACTTATAATCTT